GTCTGCGATCAAGTGTGCTTGTTCTGGCGGAGATCAGAAGCAGACGATAAAGGAATTGAAATCGGGCACCACATTGCGGTGCATGACCTTTGACTCTCCGTCTCAGTTGTTCTTCTTACTAACTGAGCAGAAAGGCGGACTGTTTCTGACGACAATGTCAAATGTGGGTGACGATGAAAAAACGCTCACAAAGATAAACATACCTTTACGGTTCGTCGGGTTTCATCTGGATCAGCTTGACCGGAAGTTGTACTTTTTAGGAAAAGAGTCATCACAACGTGATAGAGAAGACATGTTTGAATTACGAATTAACGACCTTAGTTACAAATTTAAAAAGATCACTACTTTTCGTAGAAGCAAGACCGACGTGTTCAACATAGCGCCTGGCGAAAAAACGATTCTTCGAGTCATGGAGAAAAATAAATTTCATAAGACCATCATCTATAGAGATCTCCGGGCAGGCACAACGAAGGTGATGTGCGACCACCCCGACACCGAGTTGGCTGCGCGTTATATTACCTACTGGAGACACCAGGTGTTCATCGTCCTCCAGGCGTCGTCAGAGATCATCGGACTTGTGTGTTCGATACGGAACAAGGACTCGACTACAGTTTCTCTACCGTTTCGTGCGAAATATGAAGTAACCCTTGGATGATCGTACAAGTTTTTATGTTTCTTCTCTCTTATTACATGTTTAATAGACCCGTGAAGATCCAGGGTAGAATAGGTCTTCAGCAACCCATGCTTGCCATAACAGGCGACTATGCTTGTCCTAAGAGGCGACTAACGGGATCGGGTGGTCAGGCTCGCTGATGTTCATGATGTCAATCCCTGGATTGTCTGGTCCATACTCGATTATTTACAGACCGCCATCATATAGCTGGAATATTGCTGAGTGCGGCTTTAAACAGATCCGCGGAGCCGAACTTGTGGAAATTTGAAAATTTAGATTTGTTAGTTTCTTCTCCCTTCTGATATGAGTAAAATCATAATATTTAAAGATAGACTGGTCCCCTGCCCCAGTCCTTCGCCTCAGCTGGCTAGCTTTGTGTAGAATAAGCGACCGTGCTCATGGGGTTGCGAAAATAAGCGAGCGTGCGCAACAGAAGCAGGGGACCAGTCTGACTTAAAGATTGACTTGGGAGGGAGGCACGTTGCTTTCGTTTCATATTAATCAAATCTCACCCTACCGACCCTTTTTTAAATTTTTAAATATTTAAAATATACTGTCCAGCTAATCGGAATAATGAATACTAAAAGTCAAATATATCCGAGATCATGTTATAAAGATTCAGATTTTAGTTTCTTTCTTTACGCAGTAAACAGCATCGTTCAAGTTGCGTTGGTGTGGCCTTACAAGTTGTTTGTTCATTACTAAGTTTACTTTTAACAGTCGTAAAGCCACATGACACAGTTTATGTTTTGCCACTAAGAACACCATCAAACAAAACTGGACACACACTGAACACTGAATTTTAAAAAAGTAATTTGTTTGCTGGCAGTAAGGATTGAAAGTGACGCGATTTGCACCAGAAACATTTCTTATTTTAGACTTATCAATGGTCTCAAAATGATTATTATTTTTGTTTTATTTCTATGCACTTTTTCATGGTACAGTAAACTACGGTTATAACGAACACGCATATAACGAACTAATTTTTCAGTCCCGACCATTTGTTGTATAAATGTCGTATATATGCTTATAACGAACTACGGTTATTACGAACTAAAATTAGTGGTCCCTTCGAGTTCGTTATAACCGTGGTTTACTGTACCTTTTAGCTGAAAATAAACTCGAGGCTTCTGCTGTTAATGTGTATAATTCCTGTATCAGGATTTGGCACGTGCAGCCAATATTGATTACATGATTAAAAATTATAATCATTACCGTCTCATCTACAATGATGATAAGGATTATGCCTCACGCTAACTTTTGTAATACGATGCACGTGTCATGGCACTTAACAACACATCGCGGGAAACTATTGCCCTCGTACTGTATAAACCCAAAGATAAATGTTATTAAGAATAAGTCGTATTGCCAATAGCATTAGCTTATGGTCCGTCTGTGTGCATATTACTCATGGATCAGATGGTGAATCGGTGGTTCTTTGTCATACTCAAATTTGGTCGGTGACACGTGGTCATCGAGATACATGAAATGTTTACGTGTCAATCCTTACCGCGTGTCAATCTCATTAAAATCAGATCTTAGTTTTCGCTACCGCTAACCAAAGATCTGAGGACATCCCATTACCGGTCATGTCAGAACGACCATTCACGAATTTTGATCGACCAATGAAATGACTGACAAGAAACCGACAATGGCCAATCAGAAGGCAGCTTTCTCGAGCTTTACGACAAAGTGTCAAACTGGCGACTTCGCTTCGAAACATATTTTGACGTATTCTCGATTAAAAAGGTTAAAACTGATAAGAAGAACATTCTGGAATGGCTTATAGATGTCCTAGATTGTATGGATATAATCATAAAACCCGTAACTGTCGTCCGGAATACCCCGTGTTAATTATATCGTTGTTGCATGATCAGAAAACACATTCCGACTGTCACTTTCATGATCTGGTAAGCGACGCTCTGATTGGTTGGATGAAAGGTCGTTCTGACGTGACCCTGGGATGTCCTCAGATCTTTGTTTAGCGATAGCGAGAACTAAGTTCTTATTTAAATGAGATTGTACCGCGTGTTTAAATCAGCAATACTTTGGAAAGAAGGGATCGCTCCACAAGACATGTGCGTCTGTAAGTCATTTGCGACGCTTTTAGCAATAATCCAACAATACCAAATATATATATTTGGTAACACAGATCGTGTTTATTCACAAGATATTCAGCGTTACAAGAAGCACATAATTGTGGATTCGCATCCCGGTTCGCCCCGATTATGTTTCTAGGTTTGTCAGCAGTATGCTCGTGGGTTTTTACCAAAGTGGTTAAAATCTGCATTACTTTGGGCTTTCCTCTCACATCATTCTGACACGACGTGAAATAACTGGAATAATGTTAAAAGCGGCGTTAAACACAACTCGCTCTAAGCCGAATCTTCACTATGTTGCATGGAACGTCAGAGGCAGCCTCCAGCATGATAACAATCCTCTTACAAGTGGCAGTTCACCTGAACATGATATAGCAACACAGCTTAATACTCTGTTGGCCATACACTAAGTAGTTATCACACGTCACCCTAGGCCTTGAGAGAGCCAGCATTAATTACAGGATTGTCATCGGACATTGCGGTTACATTATTACCTTGCATTGACGCGGTGTGTCAATTTAAATCCTGCTCGTCAGTCATTTTTATTGCCAATAAGCACATCTTTTTCCAAATTTCTTTCGTCATATGAAGCGTACGGTACTGTTATCCCTAAAACTGAAATGCGTGACAACTGACATTGTACTTTTAGTGCCGCGCGTACAATGTGGACCCGGTGTATCAATGTGTACCAGTGTGTACCCATGTGGTATTTCTGTTGGGGAATAAATAAGTGAGTGCTTATGGAGTGAGTGTATTAGTGAGTGCTTGAGTGGGTGCTTGAATGAGTGAGTGAATTTGGTTTAAATAGGTCCTACCGCCCGAGAATATTTCTATTTCACTAGGAATTGTATTATCCGACATCTGGCCGAAACGCCAGGGCTGTCTCTAGCAAGACACTATTTACAATTTAGACCATATTTACACTATAGACAGAGACTGGGAAAAAAACAATCAGGCTGTGGAGCACAGACATAATTTAATTGTTCAGCCGAAAAAACTTTCATACAAAATCGCCACATGCCCTTTAAAACTTGCATTCCCCGCTAGCACATGCTAATTTGCATATCACGTGACCGGACTTTTCTCTTATTTGTAAACAAACTCGCTTATTCTGAAATCAGAACAGATTGGCCCAATGCACAGTGAGGTGCATGACAATATAGCTTTGTACACATCAAAGTGACCGTATCGCTAGCTCTCAGTCGGTCTTCGAAGACAGGACAACCAATATCATGAATATATACAACGGATAGCGAAGCAAATGGAATTTAACAGTTTTTCACGTTTTAGATATTTGCTCGATAAAGGTTAACCATTCTATGATGTAAGTTTATCTAGATGTGTAGATGGAAAATATATGCAATATCTTGAATGGACTATGTAATGCCAGCCGCGTGGAACTCGGGTAAGAGAGCGTATTAAAAACTTTTTCTGAGTCCAAGTTTGGCTGTTAAAACTCATCTAAGTTTTTGACAGGACATAAAAGTTTTGGCGGGAATTATCCCTGTCAAGATGAATGCTGTCGAGGAAGAAAGTCTTGCTGTTGTTATCATATGAGTATACTGTGTATTGCCATGTTGAGAAGGTGGCGTTCGGGGTAGGCAAGGACTGGAGCCGAGATAGGCTGCAGAGGAGGCACCAGCCTTGCGCCTTCAATGCTATTCGGCAAGTGTTGGATAGCGAGGATTCCCGTTCCTATGTCAACTTTCTAAGAATGAACAAGGGAAATGTTCAAGTAACTTCTTGAAAAAGCGGGGCCCTACATTCAAAGTCAGGACACAAGACTTGTGGTTTCTTGCAGTCTGATTGGCTAAATTACATCAAACTCCATCAAAGTTTGATGAGAAGTGTTCCGTCCAAGTCCGTCCAAAACTTTGTCAAAGTGCACTATCCAAAACTTGGTCAAAATGGACTTTGATAGTGTAACGGGGACTTTAGGTAAGGTTCGCTCAGTTTTCTTTTGGGTTGCCCACGTGGATGTGCTAAAGTTAATTTTTGAGAAAGTTTCCAAATTCAATTTAGCTCGGTTAAGTCTACAGATAACCTTGCTCTACCCCCATGTGTAGTGTTATAAAGCATAGTTTTGTCCTTAACTATTATAGTTAAAGCACGAGGACGCTTGAGTCCCCCAGTGCTTTGACGTTATAATAGTTCACTGAGTTAGCTGGAACACAGAATATTACATTCTTTCACTCAATTAGCAAGGAATCATAAAGTCAACACTGCCATGGAGAGAAACTTCTTTTATTCAGAGCAATTGTCAACACATGGAATGTAAAGTTAGTTATAAGTTAATTTGCGAGAACATAATTGTTAATTGACACCCATGGTTCTGGATGCACTAAGCCACAACAAACTGGATACTTCCTTGATGGTATCCCAGCAACCCTTCAAGATAACCATAGTGTTGAAATATCTGCTGTGACAATGTTTAAGTCTATAGGGGACTCTTGTCATTTCAAAATGATCACAATCTAAAATGATCTTTTGACCAAAAAAGGTATAAATTTGTTTTGCCATTGTCACATCTTTTTTCTAGAATTAATATTTTCATATTTCAAAGCGTACATCATGTACATAGAAAAATGTAACACAGTCTCTAAATATGTGTTTTTGCATTGAGATGGATGAATGAAATTAGACATATTAAAGGATTTCTTTGAAGTGGCCCATCAAAGATATGTGCAGTGGATACAAACCGTCACACGCAAGGTTTTCAGATGTAGGTGAGGCAGTAAGCATTTTTTTTCACTCTTGTATGTTCTGGCAATTGGGGCATAATCTCATGAATGTTGTTTTTTTCCATAGCCATAACATGCATGTCAAGTATTTTAACAGGGTCAAGATGTTGGTTCATCAACAAACTGCTAGAAAAGGTACCTGTCATAAGTTGTTGATTTGTGAAAATTGTTTTTTTCATTACACATGGTTATGGATCAGCTGTCTCAAATGTGGCTGTTTTTCATTAATAGCTGAGAATGTAACCACTTCAATGCCAAAATGACCACACAAAGTATTTTGTAATGAAAAGGGAAGTAACTCACAGTTGCCTTGGGCAACAATGGAGTAGTGACACTGCTGGCCTATCCCTCAGCATATAAGTGTGTAGAAAATGACTGATTTTGAGAAGTCAAATGCCTGATTACGTTGTGTAATGTTAGAGTCACCTGAACTAGTGAAATCAGTGAACCCAGTGGATTCCCCACAATCCTGGCTCAGATGACCAAACCTGGGATTAAAACAGCCCAGTTCAGTCACTTGTTTCCGTCATTCATATATTTTTATTTCACCCTCGCAACCATACTTTGTAGAGATCATTTTTTATTTAGACTATGAAACCTATGGTTTTCACCCATACCAACCACTAATGAAAAAACAACCAAAAACCCCAACTTCCATAAAAAATCTTGACTGTTGTGGGTGCTGTTTTTTTTTAAACACTGTGGCTACGACAAATGAATGACCTTACACTCAGTGTCAGGCTGAAAACATAAGGGTTCATATCAACATAATACGTAGCTTCATAGTCTAATAAGTTGTTTCTCGAAGATAATTGCCTGGGTCGACTTGCACAAAGCAATCTTAGCACTAAGATGATCGGAACTCCCATACTTTAACATAGGCTTATGATAGTCTTAGCGCTAAGATCGCTTTGTGCAAGTGGGCCTTGGTTTTCAAATAGCAACTATCTGCATCCATTGCACACAGCTCTGTTAAGTGTCCTTTACTCATTCACATTGACAGTGATCGTCTTGCCCTTGGGGTCGTCGAATCTGTCCATCGTGCTCAGCTGGGAGATCATGTACATGCCTACGAACAGGATTACAGTGAAAATTCCAACAGGGACAAGTCCCATCCAGATCGGAATGGTGAAGAACCCCACACAATCCCAAGCCTCTGAGAACTGGTCGTTCCTCACACCAAACGGCTGAAACTGTTAATGAAAAGCAATTAATTAGTAGACATCTTACAGTTTATCGCATTATACATCAGGCCTACCAAAGAAACCAACAGAAGGCTCCCAAATTATGGAATATTACACACTTTCAATAGAAATAGGCACAGCAAAGACACAAGCGGTAAATCACAAGGACCACAATAAATGGTTACACGCAGCGTGATTTACGGTGTCAGGTTCCACTGCAAACGTGCCAGGTTCGTATCATTACGATGCAAATGTTATGGGGATTGTGTCTTTGTTATTAGTTTGGCTTTTTCTATGTAAAGTGTGTACCTTCTGCTGGTTTTCTTTGGAAGGCTTGAACTTGCTAAAAAGTTAAATTTGAATAAAGCAGAAAAAAGTGTTAAATCATAAACTAGAAAAAAGTGTGAAATCTCAGCTATAAATTTTGAAATTAGTGTTTGTGATTAATATTACATTTATGTTAGTATGATGATTTTCAGTAAATGCATATGAAAAACAAACTGACATTGAAAATTTGAGCATCTAAGTACCATCCTCCCTACCTATGTTTGATGTTCACAAGAACATGAACTTACCTGCATCCCATCAAATTTAAGCAGAGCATATTCCTTGCTTTCTTTCGTCATGTTCTTGGGATACAGTGTTAGGTCGGAACAGTGGTAGGAGAATATTGGGGGCATGGCCATCTCTGTGTCCTTCAAGCTCATGTACTGTTCGTCGACGATTACTTCCTTGTTGATGGTGGTGTTGGTGACACTGAGGGTGAAGTTGACAGCCACCCATCTGTCTACTCTCTTCTCAGCAGTAAACCTGTAACCATGGTAACAAGACATTTGACATACTCATCTCACTTGATCAAACTCAGTTTTGATTGATTAAATCACAAGTAACACAAACTTGATACATTTTAACATGTCATACTGTTAGTGGAAAATCAATGACATGCAATCTCTATCAGAGGTGTAACGATACGACGTGGCTGCAATACATACATATCCCGGTACTAGAGGTGCGACACGATTCATATCCTGATACATTCATTATATTTCATAAGTTCTTTCTTTTTGCAGGTGCATCAAAGCCCTGTATTATTTGTATTTAAATTGCGATATCGAAGATGGGACAGTCTAGGGCAGAAACAAATAGGTTAGAGGGCAGTGTAAACGTTGTGCTATTTATAGCCAACGGCAAATACTATGGTATCTGTGCAAGCTGGATGTTGAAAGTTTGTTATTATTCACATGGGTTTACACTAATATTACTTGTAATGTAGTGTATGATACGTACGGTTGCAAATCGTTGTATGGTATTGCAGTCCCCATACTGGGATACAATACTTTATCGCTGTACTGTTACACCACTAATATCAATCATGTTAGTGCAGGCAGTTAATTGTTTCAACAAATTTGTCTCATTTTGTATACCGATCTTAAAGAGTTTTGATTAATACATTTTCTTTTATTTGCATGGAGTAAAATTGAAGATGGGAGGTGTATGTGTGTGTGTGTGTGTGTGTGTGGGGGGGGGGGGGGGGGGGGAATTGGAGGGATAGGAGGAGGAGAGAAGTATGGGTATATTAATTATATATAAGTTAAAAACTAGAAAATTTAATAAAGGTATCTTTGCTTACTTGAACATGACATAAAAGGTAAACTCAGTTGTGGTGTTGGAGGTAGCATTTGCTTCCAACTGGAACCTGAAAGCATAAAAACAAACACACATCACTGATCATTGCTGATACACTGATTTCAGTTAATGTTAAACACAGAGCTTCAGTGGCCTAGCATTTTAACACACGTATGCATGCACGCACAGGTCGCAAAATAGGTGCAATTATCTTGAAAAGTGGCGTTAACCCCATATCACCTCACATTTCATCTTACCTCGATTGGTAACTTCTATGTGCACACATACAGAGTATTTAATTTTATTATTAATGAATATATCATGATACTTCTGAGTCGATATATCAATAACAGAATCACCTATCAATGACACCTCTAGAACCAAACCCTGGTCTTTCTCGCACATCACACTAACATTAAGCTGTGTTATAACTGAAAAATGATTCAAAATGGTGTCTAACCCGATAGGTTTTTCTCATATAGACAACATAACAACAACGTACATGGCTGTGTTGTTGCTCCAGGAAGACATCCCGTGACTGTAATTTCCCTCTTTGGGGAATTCAATGACTGTCCGAATGTCATTGGCCTTGTCTGCCATCGGCTGCACAACCACCACCTTGATACTGCGACTGTAGAAGTACATCACCCCAGAAACATTGACGAAGATGCTAGTTGCGTTGTCAGGATTTTCCAACAGATGGCGACCTTTGAATGTTGCCTTGGTGTCCTGATTAAAAGAAATAACATCAGAATCATAAAGTGACACAAATTGCTAGGGCTGTATACCACAAAGAGATTTGTCATTTATGATAGAGGAGGAATGGGACTGGAGAGATCAAGGTGTGTGTATTTGCGTGATGAAAGAAATGACACAGCAAAAGTGTGTGTATGCATGTGTGTTCTGCCAAACTTTATCTCAACAACAACTTATAAATTATGAATGTGAACATTATTTAGGGACTGGTAATTTATGAGAGAGAGAGAGAGAGCAAGTCCATAAATCCTGAGATTGTCTAACGATACTCAACATAATCCTAATCCCAAAATTATGTATTCAAATTAAAATGACAATAGTTCTTTCTTTTCACTTTCTAACACTGGAAGTAACTTGTTGATTTGTCTCTGACTTGTAGTAGTATTAAGTTAAGGATACCTGCTGTGATGGTTGTGTGTTCACAGTGCAACTCAAACTGTGTTGGGAATGCTTTGATAATAAATTCTTAGTCAGGCTATTGCCAGTTTGAAGTCATGCACCTCATATACCAAAAGGAAAATCTTCAAAGATACACCAGGATATTTTATCATACTAAAAGTGAATGAATTCCCTTTTCACATTGTGTCACCCCCTACAAGCATTGGTTCCTGGGGACCTGTTCTAACCCTGAAGAGGGTGTAAAGATGTACAGTCACATGCAGAAATATTCCTATTTCATGGGAAGGGATCCATGATAGGAAACTGTTGATTCACTCTCACAAGCATTATGGATATTGTGCCAATATTGTACTAACCCGTTCTGCTCTCTCGCCTGTAAACAGTGCTGTGTATTCAATACTGCGCTTGTTAAGAGCTTTCACAATCTCTCCAACTTTCTCATCTTTAAAGGAAAGACAGAAATATTCTCAATTGATACATGTTGGATTCTAAATTCTGAAATATTGTACACAACTTGTTAATTTATCTCTTATAGTAAATATACACAATCTAATAAGGTGACATGCAAAAGTACATGTGACAGTTCCAATCTGCCTCAATTTCACTCATTTTGAGTGTGTCCATGTTTTATTAGCAGAAGACACTTATGATTAAGGGGAGATAATTTTCAGGGAGGCAACTCTTGTAAGAAAAGAAAACAATAGTTCCGTCAACGTGTTATGTTCACTGCAGTGAAATATCCAGTGTTATGTTCACTGCAATGAAAATATCACTTTTCTCAAATTTAGAAAACTGAAGTATATAACATAACATAACATAACATAACATAACATAACATAACATAAATAGAGTTAACTTCTAAAGGGAGGGACATTAACAGGATACACATAATGTTGCCAAGAATAGTGCATGTCATGCATATTCATAAACACACCAAGATATTAAAATGTGATGACAATGACATACAAAAGTGACTCGCCATTTGCAAATAAAACATATCACACTACCGGAACTTGTAATAGGCAGAACTGGAAAAAGGGTTGGTCATTTATTGGGTTGAATATTCATAGTCATAACATATAGCAAAACCCTTAAATTTGGCAAATTTCTACATGTCCTTATGCTGTCTTTAACCTATTGGGCAGTTTGGCAAGAACAAAATGCTTCTAATGCTTTTTTACATTACATCTTGTGCTTTTGAATTAACACACCCAATAGGATTAATATGGGCTACAAGACATGCCACTTGGCTGTCAGGGCTAAACATGAAGATGTAACAACAGCCTCTTACCATTCTTTGAAATCGCCCTCTCTTCATTCTTTTCCTGACCAGTGGCTGGCAAGAGAACCATGATAAGATAACTCTTGTCTTTCTCCATTTTCAGCCCAGATACATGTTCAGGGCTGGACACACTGTGCACTCGGCCCTTGAACTCCTTCATCAAACCATCAATGACAGCTTTAGGAGAGTGTACTGCGGGCAGGTTCACAGAGAAGTGGTCATCCATAAGAGTCTGAAGGAAGGAGCATATATAAATTAACATGTGTTCGACATGACATGGTGAGTTTGACACAAATTTGATCAGTATTTCAATAGAGTTACATTGTGACGTGTCACATTAATTTTTGGATGAAAATCCTTAAGTGACACAGGTCATGCTCAGAGATGTTTACCACTTCAACAGAGTAAGGTCTTAATAATAAATAATAATTTCCTGTTCACAGAGACAAGCATGAAATAAAGAAAAGATGACAAATACAATGACAATTGCTATAAGGAATATATCGTTTAACTTAACTATATGTCATAAAGGCAGTCCTTAAATCATTGTCACATTGCCTTTGGAAATCATTCATTTGACATGAAGAATTGTGTTTGTTTTAGTTTAAGGAAAAAAAGCAATAAAACAAAAGATTGACGCACTAGGGTTATTATGATTATGGTGGTAGCAAATTTCTACAATATTCATTTTCCCCAACAGTATTCATGGTATTGTGTCAGATATATTAAAATACAATAATAAACATATAAGAGCACAGTTTCAAACCTTGATATTCTTGAATGCACCTCCATCACTGAATGGGTTGTAGACATCGGCATACTTGGAGAAATCTTCCATGTGGAGCTAAAAATAAATGTGTACTGGTAGTTCCACTACAGGTATTCAGATTGCTTCATTGTGCTTCATTGTGTGACAGTACACCAGCACAGATTTGTTCTGTGTGCATAGGGATCCCAAAGGATTCTACTGGTTAATGCTAACTTATAATTCTAACTTATAACAAATCATAATTATATTACAAGTGAAACAAGTGTGTATCTGAAAACAAAACTTAAAGTGAATAATAGTAATAAATCAGTATTATCAACTGACTATGATGAGTGTTTTAGGTCTCACAATATGACCGACGAGACACAAAGGTAAACATTTTGAGAATATGGAAACCAACCTTGTCTTGTACAAATGCCACAACATTGTGTCCTTGTTTGCTTGTGAGTGGGGATATATACTTGTCGAGGAAAGTTTTACCATCGATACTATTGCCAGCATATGTCTGTGGTAGATCACTTAAAGGCCTGAAGAGAGAAACATCAGAAAATCATTAAAATGACATGTCTGTAATCTTAGGATTATCTGATTATTAAAAATACCACCAACATGTCAAACGTTATTGAATACATCTAGTCCAGACATCAGACAATGACTTAATGGAAAAGCAAAAGTCAAAGGACAAGTGACACTTTCTTGTGGACTACAGCCTGGACTACCATTCTGCAGATCATTTCTGTTGAGTAGTGAAAATATAATACAATTGACTTTCTAACCATTTTCCTGATGTATATTGATGAACACTATGAACCTTTGCCCATTGTATTCATTTACTTCGAATTACAAAACAAATAATTTTCTTATTCATTAGTCAGTGCGGCTTGTGATGACAACTCATCTTCAAGTGAAACGTATTGCCATGTCCATGACTTGTAAAACTTTGTGGTCTGAACACTCAGATAATAAAGGGCGATAAAAATAAAGCCGTGATCATCAGTGACTACTGCATACCAAAATCACCGGGATCAGAGTTAGAAATGTGGGTCACCTTCACGTGCCTTATGGAAGTCACTGCCGGATGCAGTGGACTGTCAACAGGACATCACATTTCGCATACTAGTCGCGCCATGGGTCATAACATCCGTCCAAAGAAATGCTCTAATTATTACTCTATGGTCATATTCCTATTCTAAAGTCTGTTTTTCTGTTAATAAATGCAGTTAGCATAGAGATAATGTCGGTCTGATCTTAGATTTTTCATAAGTTTGACCATTCGATTCAGGAAGTGCATCAATATTAATAATTACGGATCCTTTGATGACGCGTTTAAGGTCCATATACACAAATAAAATGCGCCGGTTACATTACCTGGATTGTGACCACATTAAAACAGGCACTTTGTCAGCAGTGATTACTGCCAGGGACGTGAAAGCCACCACAATCTGTATCGTCGACATCATCATATTCGCCATCTTGCTGCTTATGACCGATCACGTGGATATGGTCACATGATCAAAATCTCGCAGGCCGAACGAGAAGAGACCGAGATCTTCCTTTTACGCCATTACCCATCAACATGGGTGAGTCTGTTGCCCACGTGGTTGAACATTTACTAAAAAATACACGTTTTGTTGGGAACATTGTCAAATGAAAAACATGTGTAATAAAAGCAAATGTTTTATTCTACGTCTGGTTAACTTTTTGGCCATAATGACTGATATAAATCGACGTGTAGGTTGATTCACCGGGACATACTTGCAGTGCAAAGGCCGATGAGGCATGGTGAACATTAACTAGACTAGTCACCAATTTCCCAAATATGTTGATCATCCTTGAAACTTTAAGCGGGTGTATATCTGAAAGCAGAGAGGTTTAAATTTGATCACATTTATTTGCATGTTTTAACGAGCATAAAACTCTACCCGGACTTTTTATTGCTTGCTAGGGCCGCCAGATCAGAACTATTTCAAGGATTTATGAAACATTCATTTTTTAGGGGTTTACGGTTCATTTTCAAGGACATTACTAATTGATATCCGAAATGTACTGAAGATATCTTTAAAATCTGGTTTTTAATATAGAATGTCAAAAGTAACAAGCAGCATGAAAATGTCCCAATGGCATTTGTATCGAGGAAAGATCACCATTGTAGCTTCCAACGTCAACAAAATAACATCAGCCTATTGTTTTGAAAGTGACAGAAAAGGATAAGTGCTGTTATTGTCCTTTCATCTGTATTGTAACACAGCATTACGGAGAATGGATGGAAATAATTTACACTGCCATTCCTGGGGATGCAACAATACTGATCAAAGGTGTAAGAATGCTTGTTAGGGACTGGTTATTAATTAGGTTTTGGGGAAGAGAGACAGAGATTATATATCCCCCCACACACACACCCTCCCTTTTTTATTGAAAACAGAACTATTCCTTCCCTTTTCTCTCTCCCCCCCCCCTTTTTTTTTCTCGCAGTGTCATATTTTCAGGCACTCAACCTCCCCAATCTCACCACCCCCCACCCCCCACCCCCCACCCCCCCCATAATGATTAGACCTTGGGCCCCCTAAAACTATCTGAGTCCTCAGCAGTCGAAATAGAAACACCCAGGTAATTAATGTTATTGTTAAGGTAACCAACAGGATCACTGTGACAGGAATAGAACTGATCATACAAAGTTTGCAGGAGTCATATGAAATGAGAATTTTTCAACAGGTTGGAACAATCAAATCAAAAGCAGAATAAATTTGATGGTATTTGATAGTATCAGTTGAAAAACATAACAGAAAACTGAAATTGAAAATGCAAGTTTTTCATAAGAATTCTTCTTTTGTTAACCAGGAAAGCCAAAGGGTCTTCGTACCGCACGAAAGATGCGCGACCATCGTCGTGACCAGAGATGGCACGACAAAGACTACAAGAAGGCCCATTTGGGAACCAGGTGGAAGGCTAACCCCTTCCAGGGGTCCTCACACGCCAAGGGCATTGTGCTGGAGAAAGTGTAAGTGAATGTCTTCTCCAGGGTTGTCTGATTCATCGATTCATTGTGAAATTACAGCTGACGACACGATATGCTTAACAATGTATCAATTAATGTATGTGTTAGAACAGCAATTGCTATGTTTTTGCAGCTTAATAACTACTTGGGCTAGAATTACCCAGCTTATGAAACAAAAGTTTTAAATGTGATTGCTTAAAAGTTAAAACAATCAGAACAAACCTAAATTAACCAGTCTTGCAAGTTGATAAACTCTTGTTAGCTGAGTCACATGAACATGGAGCTTTTCATGCAGGAGTTGAGCAAATTGAGTATTGCGATACATATATTGTGACTCGAGAATTGCGCTGTGTTGATAAATGAAGTTAGCGTATCATGAAGCACATAGTCTTCAGTTTGCTTACATTGTTGCATTTGAGTGCGAGACTTTAGCCACTAATCCAAATCCAGAGTCTTGTAAAATTCAGCTCAGTTTAGTAAGCTCAGCTAATCATATTCCATAGACTATACTAAAAATGATGGGGCGAAATTCAGTCTAGTAGACTCAAAAGTTTTCAGTACAAATTTGCACTTGGATGTTCTCTTTTCACTGGTCACAAGACTCTGGGGAGAAATAGATCACAGCAATTAATTATTCATGCTGGAATGCTCGTGGCATTGAATTACTCTTGCTGTATTTTTGGTTGACAAATAACCAGTCAGAATAGAACAGGTCCTACTAGTACTAACATGAAATTTACTAGTCTTTGGCATTTTTCATGTGATTATTGTCTGTGACTGCATTGTGATTGAGGTGTCTTGTGTTGTGTAGACAACATGTATAATGTACCTTGATCATAAAGTGTCTGTCAAAAAACTTCTGACCTTTGAACAGTGATAGAAATTGGCACTAGTCCTATAGTCCTTGCCTAACTGCCCAACCGTAAAGGTATAAGTGCTAGTAGATATAAGGGATAGGTATTAGAGGTTTAATGTGAATCACAATATTTTGCATTCCCCAAGGCCGTATTGCGATACGTATCACAATACATTGTATAATTCTAAAGTATTAATTCGGAAGCAATCTGATACCTTAATAATTCTAAATTATTAATTCAGAAGCAATCTGATACATTAAGGTATGAACTGAAGTTCATAAATGGAACAAAACAAGATGCTAGTGCAACATAATGTTTACTCATTCAATAAATATGCAGCCATCTTTGGGCCCCGGATGCTCGCTCCTTGGCAGCGAAGGCATTTGGCAAGCATATAACATTAAACACATGATAAAAATGCCAATTTGAAATCACCACATATATTGAGTATGAAAATATGATATTGTGATACGTATCGTGGAAATAATGAACCTCAATTTACTGATATGCTGTTAATACCTCACACCCTAAGTAGAAATATGCCATTTTAATGCTGTTGCTATATGTTATCATTTTCATAAGTACTAGTGGACTAAACATGCTAGTTTCTATCGCTGGCCTTAATATCTTGGCATAATTTTCAGTAAAGTTTAGTAGTATTATTAGACTTTCTAGGGTGAGCATGCCTGAAGTCAGACTGTTGTTATTAAAATAATTTGTTTGTTTATTCTGTGACTGTCTTTCAGTGGCGTTGAGGCTAAGCAGCCCAACTCTGCCATCAGGAAGTGCGTGAGAGTGCAGCTCATCAAGAACGGAAAGAAGATCACGGCCTTCGTCCCCAATGACGGTTGCCTCAACTTCATTGAAGTAAGTTCATTAAAATATCACTTTGACTTGCAGTAATAGTTACTTTTGTAATTTTGTGTAAGGATGAATTCTGTAGAACATGGACTATCTTGTACATCATTCATTATTCCATGTGTTAAGTCTGATCTATTATTATCAGTAAACTGGACCCTTTACTTACAAGGGTTGTTACGATTCACTCACATATCTGGTGAATTGTTTATTATCAATACTCGAATTGTACTCAGTATTCGCAACCCTTTTAACCAAATATTTACTAATTTTCACCAAAACAGTTTTAATAAATGAAAATCAAAATATCTGTTTGGCCATCTATGACAAAAAGTCATTTAATGTCTATATCTACCAGCTATGCACACATGCTCGCCCATAAAATACTTTTAATAACCAGAGAGTGTAATAGCATGACAAACTTGTGCTGGTCGTAAGGGTATCTAAATGGATCAGTTAGTCACTGAATTATCTCTGTGGTCGTATTTAGGCCATGCTTACAATGTTGCATATCTGGTAGCCTCTAAATGTTTCACTTTTCTTTTAAATACCCAAATGCAGTAGTATACTTTAACTTTGATTTGCCAAATAAAATATCTTGTTGCTAATTTGTTGAAGCCCAGTCTGTCCTCACTGTGGGGGCACATGTGTGTAAACCAAATGGATAACTCGTCATTGTTAATGTTTACAGGAAAACGACGAGGTTCTGGTTGCTGGATTCGGAAGAAAAGGTCACGCTGTGGGAGATATCCCCGGTGTACGTTTCAAGATCGTGAAAGTGGCCAACACCTCCCTATGGGCTCTGTTCAAGGGAAAGAAGGAGCGACCACGATCATAGACACTGATGTGAATGTAAAGAAAATAAACATGTAAAATCAATGATTGTGTATATTTTGTTACAGATGATTTGATTTCATTACTGGTTGGTTTGTTGTTTAACACCGCACTCAGCAATATTCCAGCTATATGATGGCGGTCTGTAAATAATCAAGTCTGGACTAGACAATCCAGTGATTGATATCATGGGCAATTTTCCCAATTGCGAGGATTGATGACATGCATTAACCAAGTCGGCGTGTCTGACCACCCGATCCCGTTAGTTGCCTCTTATGACTGATAGGACCATGGCTGTTGTCTAGTGGATAGAGCATCGGTGGTTTGATCCTTGGACATGTCATAGCAAAACATGGTACTTGTTGTTATCCTGACTGGGGGTCAGCATTTATTGGACTAAACAAGGACAAGCCAGTATGATGTGTCTGAGTGGAGAGTCTATGTTCAACTTTGGCATGGTTATGGTATCTCCATGGGCTAGCACTATAAAAGAAGCATTAGTCCAGACAAGCACAAGCAGCCACACACCCATGCAGGTCAGTTATGTAGGAAATGGACACCATATGGTGAAGCAAAGTCACCTTTATGTCTCAGTATCCCCTGCTTGTTACAAATGAGGATTGGGTGGCTACAGTGTGTCGCATGGTTGATTGTATGGCACCAGTAGTGTGAACTGTTTAACAGTGATCTGTGAATAGTCCACAATACAGTGATTGACATCACGATTGGGATCACTATCTGGATTCAATGACAGGCTTCAACCAAGTCAGTGAGTCTGATGGTTAGACACACCTTACCACAAGCATGGGTTGGTGGAGACCAATTAACTTCAAGGCCACTGATTGACCTGGTCAAAGCATGATTAGTCACAGGCTGCCATGATATAGTTGAAATATAGCTGACTGTGGCTTCATACAACGTTCCTAGTTCTGGTCACCAACAATATGCCTCATAATCTTGTATGAGAAGTTGGATTACTATCTGCAAAATCAACCTGTATATGTTGTATGGTAAATGATACAGGCCATTATGTATCTTGTAGTTGAAAGATCGCCTCCATGATCTAGTAGTAGAGGTTCCGCATGCAGAGTGGAAGGTTGGGGGTTTGATCCCTGGCCACATCAAACCAAAAGACATTAATGGTACTTGTTACCCTGCCTGGCGCTAGGCTTTAGGGGCTAAAACAAGGACTTGGCTCGGATTCTGTATACTGTGAGTGGAGTATTCTTGTTAAACTGCGGCATGGTATCTAAGTGGGATAGAACTAAAATCGGCATTACAAGTTGCCACACATTTGGTGCAATAAAAAATCTTGAAGGTGTTTAACCCCATTTCACCTCACCTCTTGTAGTATGTATGTTTTTCAGTCGCTTCTAGCTAAGTTCAAGTGATATGACATCAAAAATGCTTTTCTAATATTGTACCCCATCTTCCCGAGGCAAGGGAGTTAACTGACTCTAAAAGTACTGGACTTTCATAGTCAGTTAACTCCCTTGCCTCGGGAAGATGATTGTACCTTTGTTGAGAATCATTAGATAGTGATTAATTGAATACAATTCCCCCCCCCAAAATTCAAACCGAAATATGTGGATAAAAAAAAGATTTCAGTCAAAGAAAGAAATCATTTTATTTATTTCATTTTCACATCTTTAATGTTCGACCCACAAATAAAAGCAGAACACAATCTTGCTTAAACGTGTTTTTATTTATGATACTTCCAGGTCACTGAAGAGATCTAACTGGATTTCTGAAAGGAAGAATAAATCCCTTATAACCGCCTCGAAGCAAAAAGCCGCACGCTTTTTCCAGTCAAAGTCACGTGACATAGCTCAAGAAAACCTAAGCTCAATCGAACAGCTGTTTTCTAACAATTTTCAATCTGTTTTTTGGCAGATAAACATGTCGGCAAGATAAATTCATTGTATCACTCGGGGTACATGTGCTTTTTATACGTTCCGCTTCAGGTATAAAACTAAACGCGGGACGCATGGAATCACATGTACCCCGAGTGATACTGCTACAACTTATAATGTACAATTCATTTGGTACCAATGATGGAACAGCCTCCGTGGTGAAGTGTATAGAGCGTATGTCGGAGAGCAGTGTTGGTCGTTCGATCATCTGGCCGTGCCATACCAAAAGACGTTAAAATATTCCAAGCTTGACTCGGGGCATTAAGGGGATAAAACAAGGACTGGCTTGCTAAATCATGTTGTGGCTGGCTCAATCATGTATCCACGTGAAACTGTCGCATGATAAAACACGCACGCACAAAATAAGTGCACATGACTGTAAAAGTGCAACAATCTTGAACGCGACGTTAACCCCCATTACACCTCATCTCATTACAGATCGAATACGGTAGCTTGATAAGCTGAAGGCGTTGTGCAGAGTTGTGTCCCTTAGACTTGCCAGACTATGATGGCTCCAACTGGTTCTTATTTCCTGGGATTTGTTGCGTGTGGGCTCTACCTAAAGTGACATTTGTGAATGCTGTAAGCAATAATACAGCTTCATAAGGGTACCTACCCGTGAATAATTGAATAAGCAAATAATCAATGCCACTGGCTGTAATAGCATGCAACGACCAAGTGACAGTTTGGCCATTTTGGTAGTTTCTCAGACTCCACTAACATCTAGTCTCTGAAATGAACGTATCGTACAGAAAAAAACAGTTGTTCAGTTATCTTAATAAAAATATAATAAAAAGGGAGCCCAGTGATTCTCTTCATTTTCAGATACTGCAGTAATCTAGACTTGCCAAACATTAGACTTGCATGGGCTGTATTCGATTTATATTTGTATCAGGGTCTGTAAGACAGACTAAGACTCCACGAGCACCGGGTATTAAGAACCTACTTGGCAGTGTCTGACGCATCGTGATTTTGCAGTACCTAATCCTGGATTCGCCTTATGAATATCGTTTTTCTTCAGAACCAATCCCATGCACGTGGGTTTTACTAAAGTGGTAAGCGTTTTGGGCCTGCGTGGCTTTGGGTTTTACGCTACATCAAACTGGTAATACTGTTCCTAGCTGCGTGAAACAACTCTTGCACTCACTGGGGACCGTAACAGTTAGAAACGTTTGACATCCTGATCCACCAGTGTCGATCTAGAGTATCACTTGCAAATGCGCCGTGCTCTCAAATAAGCCACAGTGGGTAACCACTGCCTCTGCAAAACCGGAAATTGGACGGTAGCAACGACCATTTTCTCGCTGGACAGTGAATAAAAGTGTGATTTCACCCGAGCACATGAAGCATGATTTAGGCAATTGAACGGAAAGGGTCGAATAGGTCACGGACACTCACGAAGGAACGGGTAAGTATAAGTGACTTTAGTCTGCGGACACTCACGAGTGATCCCGATGCCATTTGGAATACTCCTCCCATTCCGTAACCCACAAGATACTGAGTGCTGAGGAGGGAGCCGATATGGCGCGAATGGTTCCAAGCGTCAGACGTTAAATTCATGGGAACGCAAGAATGACAGGGTTTAAATAATTCGGGTTTTTTCATTTTTCTATAAACTTCCGTGTGAAAAACTGAGTTTTTTGAAGTTGAGAAAAGTGATATTTTCATTGCAGTGAAACATCACTTGATATTTCTCAGCAGTGAGCAGAACACTTGATATTTCACTGAAGTGAACATAACCCTTTGGCGGAACTGTGGTCATTCAAGAGTTACCTCCCCTTAAATTGTCTCCCTTTATCGTAAGTGTCAAGCCCTTTCGCTCCTACTTTTCAAGAATATCTTTTGTTGAAGTTGATTTTGTAAATAATCGCATTGAAATGTACGATAAAGAATTTTCGTGACCCTATATATATTTTTTATACTTTTGTTTATGTTTTTTTAAGATTTTGCAAACACGAAACGTTTAAAGTCGCAAATACAAGTGGTGGTGAATCGTACCTGTGTGTTAGGTAGGCGCCGTGCTTTATGTGTGTTTTGGTTTGAGAAAGTTACATGTGTATGAGTAATAGTTGGAAAGATGTTAACAAACTTATCTTACCTCCGTCACAAAAGAGCTCACTGTATTAGCTAAGATATGTGTGGTTGGGAAGATAACTTGTGAAAGGAACCCTTGGTATAGGAGAATGATTGGAGTGAGTGAGTGAGTGAGTTGGGTTTAACGCCGATTTTAACAGTATTCCAGTTATATCACGGCGTGTCAGCTTAATGTGGGAGGAAAGCCCGAAGTGATGCAGGTCTCAGACGTTTACCACTTCGGTGAAACCCACGAGCACGGGTATGGTGCTGACAAACCTACAAACATAATCGGGGCGAACCGGGATTCGAACCCACAATCATAGGTTTCTGGCGTGCCTAATGGACGCAACTCTGCACAGCGAATGGCGGCGCCTTAGACGACTGGGCCACCCGTGCCCCCGAGAGGGATTGGAAACATACGATCGAGGCATACTTATATTGTAATCTAGGCTTTGATAAACACTGGCTTCTAATGTAATCAAGCTGGCAAGTGGTGTTTTGTAACCGTAAGAAATACACAAGAGCTTTCTCTTCAATTTGCCTCTAGTAAAAAAGCAAGACTATTCAAGTCGGTTTACTCCGCGCAGCGCTTGCCTTGTCCGCTTCACTGTGCGGAGCTCTATTGTTTTGGTTTGAGAACTGAATCGGGCCAATCTCATTAAAATCAGATCTTAGTTCTCGCTATGCTAAACAAAGTAGCGGTAGCGAAAACTAAGATCTGATTTTAATGAGATTGGAATCGGGCATGTATCGGAAATTATTTCATCCATGATTTAAGTACATAAAGAACCGTCGACGTACTGTCCCTGACAGCTTCAAGAACAGCTCATATGGCCGTCGTAATGTTTGTCGCTCAGACAGCTTCCTAAATTGGTTGCTTGTATATTAAAGGCAGCCCTAGTGCTATAAGTTTGCATTATTACAACCGCATAAATCCGGACAATAACCATGAAAAGCAGACACAAGTACAAGATTTCATTGACCAATTTTTTTTATCATTTTTTTTATATATTGTAACGGGGGCTTAAGCTGTACCGTTCACACTCAAGACATTGACTATTACTGATTACAAACTGATATAAATAGATTCTTACCCTCGCGTCTTTTGATATTAAATATTCTACACTCGGTGATAAATGTACAAAAAAATCATCGACAAGCCTGGACCTTTAAACATTTGAGTGAGATTCTCTACGTAACTCAAATAGTGTTCAAAGCGTCCTTAAACCGAATTCGCTCACTCATTTGCCAGACGAAACCCGGGCCTTGTTACGGTTCCGAATGAATGGAATGTGACAAAGAATACTTTGATATTTTATTTCAAATCAAACAGAAACAGGCTGGTAAGAGCTATAATCGATTAGAATGTACAATCACGCAACACAAGTATGTAACAAGATAAATGTAAAGAAAGTGTTGTAAAATGAGATTTTGGTAAGCTAAGACAAAAACGCAAGTTAAAATGAACACAATATGGTACAAAATGGTAAATAAAGTACATGTCAACAATGAACAACAACGATGGTCATAACCATCATATAGACGAAAAAAACATTTTAATCATTTGATTGGACCAAAATGTAATTTTCAAATCTGTTAAAAAATTGAACAGGTACAATCGAGATCATGGATCGACTTTGAGCAAAACAGTATTTAGATATCCATACTATCGAGACAAGGGCGTTAACTGACTTTTAAAGTCCAGTTCCCATTTTTTTAGTCAGTGTAACTCCATTGCCTGGGGAAGATGTTAGAGATGCAGTCAGCACCCGTCCTCAATTATCCAGTGTATGATGTGTAATATGTAATATTTATTGTTATATTACATTCCATTCTATAATGATATACGTTACTCAACATGTGTTAGGGACACCGGGATATTTCATACCGTGACGTAACACGACGACAACTTATTGAACTGGATTTATGTTAAATCAGCTTAAATTGAAGCTGCGCATGCTTCCGTTCCATGCAATATCGAATACTATTCGTTTGACAACATGTCCGAGCAGACACATACACACCTGGATACTCCCAATCCCTTTCAAACGTTGAGTAGTATACACTAGAATTGAGAATTGATACGCAGGAAGTAATCGAGGACAGTCAACACCTGAACACTAAGCGTCCCAAACAAAATTATTTATGTCATATTCATGAGCATGTTTTTTCCTTTTTCCTTATAACGACTATTCATTATATCCGAGGCTACCTGTACCTGTTGGGCGTCCAGAGGAGACTGCAGTTAGGAACAACAAACCGTACGCCTGTTTATGACTGGGATGTGGCGTCGGGTTACAGGTTGAAGGTTCATTCCTTAGATTTAGGGCCATCTTGGTGGGATGGCTAATACAAATATTGCACGTTTACGAATCAAGCCTGTACCAAGTGGAAATATTTGGTGGTCTAAGGGGTGTGGCTAATCTACATGATTAAAACACTATTATCACAGATCACACTTGAATATATTAACTTATAGCTAAAATGGATAGAATTATCAAGAATTAAACCGCCCGCACGTTATCAGAAATGAGCGGGCCACTGTAACTTGATAATGCCCTCATATTGCTTGACGACGGGCCATTATTAAGCCCGTTGTGAGGTGACGTCATAAGGTAGAAAAAGTGACGTCACGTATAATAGTGACGTCATCTGGTTTGTTCTATGACGTTTCCATGTTTGTAAAATGGGGTCAGTGACATTCGTGTTGATTGCAAAATTTTTAAAAACCGATGTTGTTGTTTCTTTTTATTTGATAACAAATTCCATCCATTTTAGCTATAATACCGATAACGCTATTTTTCAGGGCATTATCATATGCAGAAACCCTCGGTCTTTTCAACTGCCCTCCTCCGTCGGGCAGTTAATGCAAAACCTCAGGCTTCTGCAAATGATAATGCCCTGAAAAATGGCGTTATCCTTATAATATCTCCGGGATTTCTCTAGGATTCCGAAAAAATGCCCTCGGCATAAGTATTCTATACAATGGTGTAGAATTATGCAACAAAGCCTCCTCCTATATACTACGCAACATTTGTTTAGAACCAAAATAATCATCTCAGTTAAAGATGCAGTCCTCAGCAAATGTTGAGTAGTATAAATTAAATACAAATCAACTCGAATTTGAACTAATATTGATCCCTGGATTTCTCCAAGAAGAGCACCACACTTGAAACACCGAGACTCAGCGATATCAGAAATGACATACAGTAAACTATGTTTATAACGAACACGCTTATGACGAACAGACGGGTAAATCGAACTGTTTTTTTGTCCCTTCCATTTGTTGTATATATGCTGTAAATATGCTCATAACGAACTAAAATTAGTTGTCCCTTTGGAGTTCGTTATAACCGTAGTTTACAGTAATTAACAATCTCTTCCTACAATATCCGTCTGTTCCAAATGCACAGGTTCAATGAATGACGTTTCTGTCGAGGGAGATGACTCAATTCTTGAGTCGTATATCGGGTCACGTGTCTCGGGACCAATTTCGCTTTCAGAATAAAACACATCTGCCTCGTCACGTGACTCGGAGACCGGCTCCGACACGCAACTCGACTCCGATATTCTATATCGACGACCAGATCGCACTCCCGTGTCACTGACAGAACCGACTGCGCTGGTAGGCAACGTTAATAAGCTTGAAGCACGGCAGTTCCTGCAGGTGTAGTTCACGGTCACTTTACTGGTACCCGAGACGCCACTTCCTATGCTGAAAGTATCCCCGACGTTCATGTGATTTCCTGTACTTGACGCCCGACTGTAGATCGTCTGCTCGTCGTAGTACCTAATACTCGGATCGTACTTCCAGCACGTGCTTCCGAAAATCCTGATATGGTCATTCATAGCATCAACATAGCCTAGGAAGGCTTGAGCTTCAGGCATGTTATTGGGAACATGAATTGCCTGGTTCATGTTCAGACACTGCAGGAGTTCATCCAAGTATAAAAGTCTCTGTCCTTCGTACGCCGATTCCGTAACTTTGAAATATACTCCTTTGAATAACAATCTACATGACTCCATGAGTTTGTTCAGGCTGTCGTCACCATGCTCGTAGCCAAAAGACACCGGAAGTACGATTTGTGATCTGGTGGTGGTGAAACTCTTCTCCCTGAGATACCCAAGCGCCTTGGAGCTGAAGTCGGCGAACATATCCGACTGCAGCGTGCTGATACACTCACCCTGTTGGCCACTGTGGTGGCTGAACAGCTGATACAGACCCTCGGAGGCGACGACGATGACGACCGTCGGCGGCTCGAGATTCGTCGTAACCCAGTCTGCGATGTTAACAACGTCGCGTCTACTCTGTTCCCTCTCGACGACCACCTCGGCGTTCAACAGCTTCCTCAACAGCTGGGCAAACGCCCTGACCGCCTGGATGTGGTAGTCATGGTCTACGCCATAAAGAATGACAATGCGCACTGTTTCACCATCCCTACCAGTCTCCATTTTACCTGTGAACAAGGAGTAGTGTGTTAATTGCCTTTAGGTCGTCGTTGAAACGTGGGTGGTTTTTGGTGTGGGGTGTGGAAAAGTAAGTCAGGGAGGTACTAGAACATCCTCGATTAGCCATATTATTAAAATATACCCTGGAATAATTCGCCTCCTAATATGGTCATCCAACAGTTTCTAAAGTGACGTCACAAGCCGCACCACTCTCATCACTAACTTTCTCTCTCTCAAAATCTTGAAATCAAAATGCCTCTTTCAAAAACAAGTTCAACATAGATCTACATTCAAAAACATGACCCTGCCCGAGTAAGATCGCGATATGTTTACTCGAATCAGAAGACTGATATAAATGCACTTTTAGCTGGCAATTGTGTTTACTGACTACTGAGTACTAGGGAGGGCGGTCCTTATGTTACAAGACATTAGGGTGGTCAGTCTCGCTCTCTTGGTTGATGCATGTCATCATCCCAATTGCGTTGATCGATGGTCATGATGTGAATCACTGGATTGTCTGGTCCAGCCTCGATTATTTACAGACCGCCCTCATAGAGCTGGAATATTGCTGAGTGCGGCGTTAAACAACAAACAAACAAACAAACATCACACTTACTCAGTTTTGTGTACACCACGTTGAACGGTTGACTGGGCTTACACTGTTTTACATTGTCACATTTCCTAGTGAAGCAAGGCATTGATTCTGAAACAAAACAAAACACAACTTAATACACTGTTGTTTAAAATAATAATCAACTCATTATATTTCAGGGTAATAGCCTTCGTGGGGATTCCGGGGCAGATAAGGTCCCCATTACCCCGTGTGGAAGGATACCATTAATGAGTGAGTGAGTGAGTGAGTGAATACGGTTTTACGCCGCTTTTAGCAATATTCCAGCAATATCACGGCGGGGGACACCAGAAATGGGCTTCACACAATGTACCCATGTCGGGAATCGAACCAGGGTCTTCGGCGTGACGAGCGAACGCTTTAACCACTAGGCTACCCGACCGCCCCACCATTAATGAGAATGGAGCGTGTACAATTTGTGACAAGGCTGATTGTGCGTCACCGTGTCCCAGTCACTTGTCTGCCTTGTGTGGAAGAGACTTTCAGACCACCCTGCTGCCGTGTTATAGTGGAACCACCCCAATACGTTTCTTTTAAACTTCATTTATCCAAAATACCCAATTGTTCCGATATGTTTCCAAAATACACCGAAAATGTACCCCATTTGTCTATTTAATGTACTACTCAAAAGAATTAAAGAACACCCGATGCTTTCATATTGCTAAAGCTAGTCTGTCATGGCACAGGCATTGGTCAACACACACGTACATGCTACCACATCACCTCTTGTGTCTAAAACGATTTAAAATAATTATTTTGTTTCACACTACCTGACGCCCCTTGAATTACTACTTTTGAGTTAAGATCTTCAAATGTCGTTTTTGGACACACTCCGACTTTTTGCGCTTTGGGCCGCAGGGGGCGTGGCCAAAAGAAGTTCAAATAAAAATCCTCCCTCCCTACAGTCAAGTTTGAAAATAAGTCACGAGAAACCTCGCTTAAACAAGAATGTCACTTTATCAATTCATCCTGTTGTATCACGTGGCTTACCTTTCATTATGCACATTATTGCCATGGCAACAGCGCTGATTACGGCTAGTATCGTCACCGCAATCATGAAATAGAACGTCGCCGAATTGTCCCGTATAGAGGCTTCAATACTGGATGGGGATACTGCGTATATGAAGCCAGGCTCTGTAACATATAGTCACATCATGTTGTAGTGGCCATGCTTGTCGTAAGAGGCGACTAACGGGAACGGGTGGTCAGACTCGCTGACTTAAATTGGTTGATGCGTGTCATCGTATCCAAATTGCGTAGATCGATGCTAATGATGTGAATCACTGGATTGTATGGTCCAAACTCGATTATTTACAGACCGTCGTCATATTGCTGTAATATTGCGGCGTTAAGCAACAAACAAGCAAACAAACCTAGATCACTCATGAAGAGTTTGACCTATGTCCCTGTTTAGGAGTGAGTGAGTGAGTTGGGTTTAACGCAGCTTTTAACAATATTCCAGTCATATCGCGACGTGTCAGCTTAATGTGGGAGGAAAGCCCGAAGTGATGCAGGTCTCAGACGTTTACCACTTCAGTGAAACCCACGAGCGCGGGTATGGTGCTGACAAACCTAGAAACATAATCGGGGCGAACCGGAATTTGAACCCCCAATCATAGGTTTCTGGCGTGCCCAAGGGACGCAACTCTGCACAGCGAATCGCGGCGCCTTAGACGACTGGGCCATCCCCTGTTTAGGAGACAATGAACATAGTAGGATGCAAGATCCCGGATATAGTAGGTCTTCAGAAACCAGTGTTTGCCGTAAAAGGCGACTATGTTTGTCGTAAGAGGCGACTAACGGGATCGGGTGGTCAGGCTCGCTGACTTTTTGAAGCATGTCATCGATCCCAATTGTGTGGATCGATGCTCATGGTATCAATCATTGGAATGTCTGGTCCAAACTCGATTATTTACAGACCGCCGTCATATAGCTGGAATATTCCCGTGTGCGGCGTAAAACAACAAACAAACCAAACCAAACCTCAATTCATGATGTGAGTCACTGGATTGTCTGGTCCAGACTCGAATATTTACAGACTGGAATATTGCTGTGCGCGGCTTTAAAGAACAAAAAAAATCAAACAAACGCTGCACTGTTCCACTGCAAGCCTCATTGGACATTATTTCATCATATGTATCAAGTTGCGTCAACTTGATGTTTTGTTTGTTTGTTTGTTGTTTAACGCCACACTCAGCAATATTCCAGCTATATGACGGCGGTCTGTTAATAATCGAGTCTGGCCCAGACAATCCAGTGATTGATATCATGAGCATCGATCCACGCAATTGGGATCGATGACATGCATCAACCAAGACAGCGAGTCTGACCACCCGATCCCGTTAGTCGCCTCCTACGACATGCATAGTCGCCTTTTACGGCAAGCATAGTCGCCTTTTACGGCAAGCATGGTTTGCTGAAGACCTATTCTACCCCGGAATCTTCACGGATCTCAACTTGATGTGGGAGGATAGTGACTCAGGTTATAGAATACGATCAGGGCGAATCTTGGAATCGAACCCACGATTCCTGAATCCTGACACGACCGAGGAACACATCTCTGCACCGACAACTGTAGCGCCTTGGGTAACTGGGCACTCGTGCCCGTCACACCGCATTAATACAATATACCAAACCCACATTCGCCACACTTACCTTCGACAGGGCGGAACACTCGGATGGGGTCACTGGACATGGGGTTCACGTGACATCCCTTAGTCTCAACATCCGGGCAGTCTTTGCAGCCTGTAGGTTTGATCTGTGGGCATATAAACAGAGAGGTTTCTACACATTTTACAACAGTTATAAACCTATTAGTCACAATTCTGTATTGATTTTCTGCATTGATAAACTTTTTGTGTTGTGTGTTATTGTGATGAATAAGACTCACCCGAACTTCGTATCTTCCAAACTTGACATTCTGGAATGTATATTTTGTGATGTCCTGGTCATATATCTGTAAGTAATATATAGTTCTTTAAAATACACATTGAAATATTGATGATACATTATATTAATTGCATATGTGATGACAATTGATATAATTCTTCTTCATATAAAAATATACGTACAGAAATTACATACAGTCAGGTTCCCAGCCCCCAGCGTTTGGCCCAGGCTCCGTTATGTTATTTTTAGGTCCGCATGATGCAGTTTAAATAACGTGTACTGCGGCGCAAAACACTATTCATTCGCTTAACATTATACAATGATACACAAAATCGTAAAATGAAAACATTAAATAAAATGCCGATACACTCTTCAAATATACACGGGGGCACGGGTGGCCCAGTCGTCCAAGGCGCCGCGATTCGCTGTGCAGAGTTGCGTTCCTTGGGCACGCCAGAAATCTGTGATTGTGGGTTCGAATCCCGGTTTGCCCCTACTATGTTTCTAGGTTTGTCAGCACCATACCCGTGCTCGTGGGTTTCACCGAAGTGGTAAACGTCTGAGACCTGCATCACTTCGGGCTTTCCTCCCACATTAAGCCGACACGCCATGATATAACTGGAATACTGTTAAAAGTGGCGTGAAACCCAACTTACTCACTCAAATATACACAAACGTAAGATTCACCTCATAAGACTTGTACGTGTGACTGGCAACTGGTTTATTTTCTTCTTTGTCGTAGAGATAGACTTCAAGAGAACCTTTTTTGAACGCTGGCGACCACGTGACTTTTAAAGTTCGGTTAACCAGAATAAGTGTGATGGTGTTGGGACGCCAGTTGTAGCAGCCGAAAGGAGTCGGTGTTGTCAGTTCTGAAATAACGGGGGTAAACTTTACGTATGTTCACTGTCTAACACCGCTCTCGGCAATGTTCCTTCTATATTTCGATAAACCAAACAATCCAATGATTGATAGCATGAGCGACGGTCCAGGCCGTCGGGGTATGATGACACGCAATCAAGCAAGTCACTGAGCCTGACCGCCCTATCCATGAGGTCGCCTCTTACGAGAAGCACACGGAGGCCAAATATACAAGTGTCAGAGCTGTACAATACACACAACTCATCTTACTTGTATTAGTCTGGATACAATAGTCTCATTACGGCTGACTGAAAGTAGTTCCGGCATTCATACACAACAGGCCATTTCACAGAGACATATCGATTTTTGTGGTCAGATGTACAGTGTTTCATCACTAAATACATAGTAAATGGTGTTAACTGAAGTTCGAAATAAACGGATGGCGATATCTGTCCTTGACATAATATTACATCACCAAATTACACTTGCTTACAAGTTTACAAACAAATTCAGTTCGATATTGTTATATATTTAAAAATATTATTGAGCACCTGCTTATGTTTGAAAAAATATTTGAGCTCAACATCATTAAAAAAGAAGCACATCTCAAACTAATATTCCCCACCCCACTTGTTAGTTCCTCAGTACTCGTGCTTTCCCTTGTAGAAATAGTTTTTATATATAACCTTATACATAACATTAATTCGGGGATAATATATTGGTCTTGGCTTTCCAGAAATAAAAGCTTATGGTCCAACATTACAATCAAAACGTTCATATAAACTGCTGTGTTCACTACCATACAGCTAGACAGGGCAGGTACAGGTGTAAATACTACATACCGCTCGCAAAGATGGGGTCACTTGCCACGGAATTCACGTGGCATTCTTCAGTCTCCCACTCCCGGCAGTCCTTGCAGCCTGTAGGCTTGATCTGGATGACACAGTGAGAAAACATTGTAAATTGTCTTCTTTAAAGTAGCATCGTTGCATTGCGGTGGAATGAGCGAGTGCCTTAATCTGTTAAAGAGGCATGTTGCAGCTAAGAGTGCGTGAGTGCGTGAGTATGGTTTTACGCCGCTTTAAGCAATATTCCAGCAATATCACGGCGGGGGACACCAGAAATGGGCTTCACACATTGCACCCATGTCGGGAATCGAACCCGGGTCTTCGGCGTGACGAGCGAACGCTTTAACCACTAGGCTACCCGACCACCCCTTTGCAGCTAAGAACCATTGATTGGTCGTGTACAGAGTAGTCAGTAAATACCACCTTTTCCCGATTTCCATCTTGGGGATGCGTGGCTCTACTGTATAGGGCGGCACATTTCACTGTGAAGAGATGCGTACCTTTTATGCACTGAGATCGGATGGTCGCGGGTTCGAATCCCAGCTTTGCCATGATTATGATACTTGGTGGTTTGTGTGCACCATGCCCGTGCTTATGGGTCTCACCAAAGGGTAAAACGTCTAAACCTGCATCAAATAACGTTTTACTCCAACAACAAGCAGACCCGTGACACAAATAACACACCTTTCGCCGTTGAACGCAAGTTACTCACTCACTCAAACACTACTATAAATGTTTGAGAAAAAGCTATGTCATAAATTATTATGTCGTGTTTCTGGTCAATGCATTGTGGTGTGAAATGCTTGGAAAAGAAGGAAAAGACTTACCCGTGCTTCATAGTTACCCTTCTCCACGCCCTCAAATGTGTGATTGGTGATCTCGTCCAAAAATGTCTATAAAGATGAAAAAGACATGACCGAATAGTACATATTTAAGTTAACATTACCGTTATAATTACATTAGATGTGCAAACGTTAATACTGCCAACTGGATAATATTGAGAACAAAAAACACAAATGTCCGTGTCTGAAAACCTAAAACCATCCTCAAATAGCCAGGGGGCGGTGGGTAGCCTAGTGGTTAAAGCGTTCGCTCGTCTCACCGAAGAACCGGGTTCGATTCCCGACATGGGTACAATGTGTGGAGGCCATTTCTGGTGTCCCCCACCGTGATATTGCTTGAAGATTGCTAAATGCACAACCTGCCTATAAATAGAGGGCTTGTACCTGCAGTGTTTCATCGTGGTTGCAGACGCTGAACAACTCGAGCAGTTACTGCTGAACAACTGATGGAGCAGTTAAAAAGAAACATGATTTTCTGGGTTTAGGCGACCATTGAGCGTCCTGGCCAGGTTTTGATCGCTCAAAGGTGCTACAAAGGTCGCAGCCCTGTGTAAAGGGGCCTAAACTAAATACGATATTTCTCTCGCACAGTAGAGCAATTTAACTGGACGGCTATTTCTGGTGTCGGGTCTAGGAATCGGGCTCAAAACTAAAATATGAATTGTTCCAGTGTATTTGTCATAACAGGAGGAATACACACTACACTTGAAAATGGAGGATGACCAGAAACATATGAAAGGATATCTTTATACTGGTATTCCAGGGTATCGTCATGTATTTTATCGTTTGGCTCTTGACTTATAAACTAACCTCATAAGATAGGATTTGTTTGTCACCAACAACTTGTTCCGTGTTCTTATCGTAAAGAGAGACCCGCAGACCACCGTCTCGGAAAGCCGGAAACCACGTGACAGTGATGGTTCCATTTCCGGTTACTGTTCCGCTGATGTTGTCGGGCCGCCAGTTGAAGCAGCCTGTAGGGGCGGGCGTCGTCGACAGTGGTGGTGCTGACACTACAACACATTAACATTGACATAACTATACCTTCCCGGCGCAAGGGAGTTAACTGACTGTTAAAATTTCCTGGACTTTATAGTCAAATAACTCTCTTGCCTCGGGAAGATGAGGAAGTTGTTTGGGGATGCGTAGAGAAGCTACCGTGTCGATGTTAATGAAACTTGAAATGTGTTCACATATGAAGTAAAAAAAAAAAATGACAACCCCCGTCTCACCGCTTTGCCTAATGCCCCTCCCCCTTCTTACTTGATAAGACAGTTTTTTAAAGTTTTATGCATATAGAATTATTAATTTCAGTTCCTGGTTTGGAAAACAGTATTTGAGTCGAGCCAATAGCCCAGTTAATAAAAAAACAATCACGTGTATTTTCAGTGAAATGACATACGGCAATGAATGAACACGTCTGCATCGCCAAATGTGCGATCCTGATTAATCATCTTTTAACTGATTAAGGTTTCTTGAATAGCAAATGAACGATGGATACCAGTAAAATTCTACATATCACTTCATCATTACGTGGAATACTAGACTGGACTCCTGTTCGGCTAACTGAGTAGACAGGCGGTGGCCGATTTCTCCTTGTCAGCGATTTAACGACACTAAGCATCGCATTCATTGGAACCAACAGTGCGACCAGTTTAAGGAAATACTCACTTCGAGGTGACAGTTTATGCGACAAGATCCCGCCGATAGCGTCAAGTGAACTGTTCACGGGAACAACTGTTAGTAGGAGTTGTCTGCCCTTGGTATCTTTGACTTTGCGGTCATATTTGCATCGAATAAGTTTTCGTTTCCCCTGCAAACAAGATGCATTGTCAATAAATTCCAGTTAGTTAAACAAAATCCACATATCCACATATTCAAATTAAATCATTGACTACAAATATATGAATGACATAGTTTTCATTTCGACGTCAATATTGGGGACCCTTTTTGTTTCCAAGTTATATCTCCATATCGTCCAAACTTAGAGTCTTTCAGATTCAGCAGTTTTAGGTGTATTACCAGGAAACGTTGAATACGATATGAAGATACTCATAAACATATTATTACATGTATATTTGACAAGTAACTGAACACTTCTCACCTTCTTTCCTAATTTCACAGACGTGGTGTTGACCAGGTAACACTCTGATGAATTGAAACTTTCATTCACAACACTCACTGCAAATACACGATCACCTGGAAAATATAAAAACGTCATTTAAACATGAACATTGTACTAAATTTACGCATTTACAAAGGATAGCTACAAGTCAGATATGACCGCCTCCGTGGTCTGGTGGTAGAGCGTCCGCCCGGAGAGCGGAAGGTCCGGGGTTCGATTCCCGGTCGCGTCATACCAAAAGACGTTAAAAGATGTTACCCTGTCTGACGCTCGGCATTAAGGGGCTAAAACAAGGACTGGTCGGCTCGGAATCAGTATACTGTGTCTGAGTGGGGTATTCATGATAAACTGCGGCATGGTATCTCAGTGAGCTAGCACTATAAATCGGCATCAGTCATGACTAGTACAAGCAGCCACACAAACACACACACGTACATGCACGTCGCCATATAAGTGCAATAATCTTGGACGCGAAGTTAAACCCTATTTCACCTCACCTCACCTCAGGTCAGATATATTTGCGTTCACATGGTGTTGCGTGTAGATATTTATAGCGGGTGATACCTGAGACCGACAGCGTGAACAACGATCTACGTCATCCGTCTCACCAACAACTATCACCATCACCCACTGCAAGCAGTGTATTGGTTACTTGGGGCCTGTTCCCACGGTTCATAAGGTTTATTATATATTGTTTAGCGATGTTTGAGGTATTTTCCAGTTATACCAATCGGTTCTAGGGTAATGACTTCACCTTACCCTTTTTGTTTACTTTCCACTTCAGTTGTGTGTGTTTGTGTTTGTCTCGTGTAACACTGAGTTGTCTCCCCTCGGATGCATCCTCTCCTTGATCAGATAGCGCTGACGCAGTGGCCGCCTGACAGTCTGGAAACATTGACGTGGATGGTGATGACCGTGTTTGGTGCATGTAATTAGTTATACAGATAGGTCATTAAGGAAAACAATATTTACAAAACATGTATTACAACTGAATCTATAAAATACCTATATACAGTAAACTACGGTTATAACGAACTCGAAGGGACCCCTAATTTTAGTTCGTAATAACCGTAGTTCGTTATAGGCATACACACAGCATTTATACAACAAATGGTCGGGACTAAAAAATAAGTTCCTTATATCGGTCAGTTCGTTATAAGCGTGTTCGTTATAAACGTAGTTTACTGTATGTGAAAGGACTGTTATAATTGGTGTATACTCCACAGCAGCTGAAAATGATTTTCGAGTGCACAGTGATCCATTGACATTGAAAAGCGACTACTTTTTAATATTATTTTTTAAAACAAAATGAACCCAAGACGAAAATACAGCCGGAGAGGTCAACACAGCAATGGTATGTTTGAAAAATGCAATCAATAATTGGCAGAAAAAACAATCGCACATTACCTGAAGGGAGTAACTGTGTGACCGAAATCTGAAAGTAAGACGTTGCATAATTAATTCAAAATCGAACTGATTGAATTATCTTTTGAAAGTGTTTCCCCAAGAAAACCTGAACAAGTAATTGGAATGTGTAGCGTTGTTTAAAGGGGCGCTGCACTCGAACCAACTGGCTGCCCTACCAAGACTGACTGAAATTCCAGCTACACACTTTGTCTGCCAGCCCAATCTCATGTATGTATACCTCATACCTTAATAGCTACTCATTCACCGGGGGTCACGGGTGGCCCAGTCGTCTAAGACCTGTGCTCGTAGGTTCGAATCCCATATTTGCCATGATTATGTTTCTAGATTATTTTTGTCAGCACCATACCAATGCTCGTGTGTTTTACCAGAGTAGTAAATATATAAGGCCTGCATCACTTCGGGCTTTCCTCACACGTCAAGCTAACACCCCGTGATATATATCTTAAATACTGATAAAGGAGGCGTTAAAAGAGACTCTATACCGATTCCCTAATGACAGAGACAGTGACCCAGGTTTTCACGAGACGCTACCAACGTTTTAGCCCGTAGCAGTTTGTAGAAAGTAGTCCACCTTTAAAGAAGACGAGAGTGAAAGAAGGGAAAGAAGAGTGAGTGAGTGAGTATGGTTTTATGCTGCTTTTAGCAATATTCCAGCAATATCAAGTCAGGGGACACCAGAAATGGGCTTCACACATTGTACCCATGTCGGGAATCGAACCCGGGACTTCGGCGAGACGAGCTTACGCTTTAACCACTAGGCTACCTGACCGCCCGGAACACTACAGATGGGTCTTGCTCTACATTGCTAAACATTAAACATTGCTAAACACTCGAATTCACTTCAAATGATAAAAAACTAAACTTCCCAGAAGTGTCATTGCTTATGGAAAAGTTAATGCTGAAAGTTAAAATGTACAATGTGCACATCAACCCTTCACGCATGAACGCATACACGCATGCACTCACAGCGTATAAAATAAAATAAAATAAAGTGTGCCTTCCTCCCGTGTCATGACAACAACAACGCCGACCATTTCGCTGGGTCATATCACATGTTGCATTGTCGGATCGCTTTCAATGGGACGCTTCTGGGGACGAATCATAATCAGTTCTTACAAAAAATCAGAAGCACAAGTTTTCCCTAAAATGTACCCAAATCTGCCCATGTTACTACTAGTACTGTTTGAATGTTATGTTTCTTATGCAATATCACTAGCTCGTGTTTTTGGTATCATCACCATAATAATTGATACACATATTGCTTTGAGACGGCCCCTCATTAGGGAATACCCTATTGTCATACGGGCACTCCTTTCGCATCCATCTCCTGACCCCTCATGCAGGAGTAACACTGAACACTGAATACATGCTGTGTTCAAGAACATTCATACTGGTATTTGATCGTATAGGCTTAGATTTAAAAGAAAGCACTTTTTTCAGGGAGTCTATAATAAAGTCCCGTGTATCTAAGGGGGGGCGTGTTCGCGTGTGTATGCCAGCTGATTGCCGACCGGCAAGTGCACGTTGAAGCGTCGTAGGAACGCAAACTCGACACCTGCAAACTGTGTCATCGACTGCTGTTTTAACCAGATCTGTGAGTAACATTGGTAACACATGGTGAAGAATCAACAGTTGTTTCCTCATTGTCTTGTCATTAAACACGTGATCTAGGACACCCATTGGTTCGGACACCACTGAGCACACGAGAACGCTGCACGCCTCAGTTTACAATGTACTTCCTCATTCATCAGTGCCTGTGCTGTGACAGCCTGGACAACCTGCGCTGCTCACAGCTACACCTACAGCTGCTACAACTGCTACAACTGCTACGTTTTTAGCCAACCAATAGTCCTGGTAACACCACCACCACCACTACTACTACTACTACTCCTCCTCCTCCTACTACTACTACTACTACTACTACTACTACTACTACTACTACTGCAGCTAGGTGTCTACTACTACTACTACTACTACTACTACTACTACCACCATCACTACCATTACTGCTACTACTGCTGCTGCTGATGACGTCATACAGCTGGAATATAACTACAACTGCTGCTACTACTACGACTACCCCTGCAGCTAGGAGTCTACTACTACTACTACTACTACTACTACTACTTCTACTACTACTACTACCACCGCGACCACTACTACTTTACGTTACCGCTGCCACTACTTATAGTAGGTCTCCTGCCAGCATAAACACTACGACTACGACTACAACTACTTACATTACGGCTCCCACATCTTCTGCCACTGCTGCTACCATAACTAATGCAACCACCACCATTAACTACCACTTTCACTTCTACAACTGAACTTGTATACTGCCGCCGTTGATGATAATTGCTAGTTATTTCTTGTTACAACAGCTACTACAAACAACAACAACAACAACATCTACTACTGTAAGGACTACTATACACATGTAAATACATATGCGGCTAATACTGACCTAACCATAAATCCTTCTACCACTACTTCTACTACTACATCCAACTACACGTCTACGACATGCACGCTATAATAATAATAATAATAATAATAAAATTAATAGTAATAACATAAACAAGTTCTTACTCTCCTGTGGGGTCTGTTCGTCCAACATTGCATTCCAGTACCATCCCGACCCCCCTCGCCACGCGACATGACCAGGAAGGGCAGAGCCAGCACGGTGACCAGTGTGGGGACATGCATCGTGGCTGCTGCCGTAGCCCGGTGTGACTGTCTGTGTTTACATGGAATCGGAGTGAACTGTCAAAACACTAACCCACGCGGGTACCCGCGCATGCGCTGTCTGAACGCGGAACAGTTCCTCTTAAATGAGGAAAAGTTTGAAAAAGGCGTGGTTGAAAACGCTAATGTAGGTCATTGATAGCGACGGTTTGTATTTTGCACCTGATAACACGGAACAACATAAGACCATATGGGGAAGGCTCATGCCACTGATCGGCACATGTGCCAGTAAAAAGTGCCAGTGAGCTGACCCACATCTCTGTGTTATTGTTTATATCCCCTTTCAGCAACAGCTGTGTTGTGGCGAGACTGTCCCTTATCTGATGGAACCCGGGGTCAGGAGACATAGACTTACACAGGCTTTTCCCAAAGCATTGATAACATTTTTGTGTCTTATTATAGTACTTATTCACATATCTTATACTTATTCACATGTTACATTATTTGTCTAGTGCATACTAGGTAGTATATAACACCCTGTTCATATAATATTCTTGTTTCGAAAGTAAATACCGTGAGAGGAGTTTGACCAAGAAAGTCTATACTTTGGGGGTTTATAGTTAAATTGAACTCTTTTAAAATATTGTCCAAACAGTTAAGAGCTCCTGAATAATGTTTCCTTTAATTTCCCCACCACCAACCAGGGTATGAAACTCCCAAAAATTTCAGCCAGACCACAGGACTGGCTAGCAGAAATACTTGCCAGCCCTGACCAAAACCTGCCTGCCCACTATAATCATATGTTTCTCAGGATAGTTTAATTAAAAATATCAAAACTGATTGCTTGTAGCATAAGCGCATCGCTAAATGTTAGGTTGGCTAAAAGCTAACGGGGTTTCTTTTTGGTTACATTTTATCATTCATCTTTACATGTGAATTAATGCTTATCATCGGGAATTATTTAGAATATTTTCACCTATAAAATAAAACCCGACCGTCGGGCAGGGGGATTTGAAAATCTGACAGTACGGGTTAAAATCAACCAGTCTCGGACGGTCGGGCAGGCAGGTATTTCGAACGCTGCACCAACCCCTCCAGCCACCTATATTTAGGTACATTTTAGTTCACTGTTCTGTTTCAGCATGCATGTTCCAGTGTTTTTCTATTGAATTCAATTATGCGTTTTTATTCTATTTCTCCAGTCTGGGTCATCTTAAATAAGAACCCCTCTCCGCCGCCTGCTCAACGCCATTCTCCCGTCAACACGTCAAGGCCAAATGATGACAGCACTTTTGTAATCTGATACGACATCTCCAAATAAACTGCAGCGCGGCCCCGGAACAAATCCCTTCAGTGAAGGTTCACATGAACAAATCTCCCACCTCCTAACTGATAAAGACGAGGACGGCTGGATAATTAATCTGCAAGCTGTTTGTAACAGACGACACGTTCTTTACTTCCGGCTGGGAATGCATTTATATTATACAATATCATCTTCAATTAGTTCCAACTATTTTATCATCAAGCGTGTCAAATAGGTAAAGTAGCCATATAGATAGTAAAGATATATATCAGTATGTTCTTGTGTTATAATGCATTTGTTTCTCATCAAATAATCTTATAAAGCAACTGAGCATACATCGCGTGAAGCTACTATATATAATATGATTCATATGATCAGTAGTTTGACCTTTGTGTAGTTCTTTTGTATGCCCGTCCTTTGCAAATGTTATGTAATGTTACCAATGATCAAAGTTTCATCGGAAACGAAATAAGAAACATGGCTGCAACATTACCATAAAATCTAAGTTAAATACAACACATTGGTAAAGAAAGGGTAAACTAGATTATCTTAGTAGTAAAGTCAAGGGAATTACAGTCACATCATATGCTTCTTCTGCATAACTCCCAACCTGTAAAATTGTTGGTAAATCATTTCGATCTACAACCTCTCTCGTTAACTTTTAACTCACTCACTCGGGAACTATATGTCTTCCCTTTAACATAGGGTTTTCTCTATCCAAACGTCACTATGGAAATAGCCTGAAAATTTCGTAGCACATCTGGTAGCCTCGCATGAATCGCATGGAAATAGTTTCAAATACAGGTTTGAAATATTATTATCTTTTTACTTAAACATTTAGGCATAAAATGAGGTAAAAGGAGTAGCTCTATATCCTGTCTCGGAAACTATATAGCTTCCCTTTAACACAGGGGGTCGTCTATACAAACGTCCCATTGGAAAAGAGCCTGAAAACTTAGTGGCACATCTGGGAGCCTCGCATGTTTCGCATGGAAATAGTTTAAAATACTTGTTTGAAATATTATTATCTCTTTCCTAAACAATTTAGGCATAAAATAACTTTAAAACAGTCGCTCTATACCCCCTTTTGGAAACTATATTGCTTCCCTTTACCACTAGGGGTTGTCTATGGAAACGTCCGTATGGAAATAGCCTGAAGACTTAGTGGCACATCTGGGAGCCTCGCATTTTTCGCATGGAAATAGTTTAAAATACGGGTTTGAAATATTATTATCTCTTTCCTTAACCATTTAGGCATACAATAACTTGAAAACAGTCGCTCTATATCCCCTTTTGGAAACTTTATAGCTTCCCTTTAACACAGAGGGTCGTCTATTACAAACGTCCGAATGGAATTAGCCTGAAAACTTAGTGGCACATCTGGGAGCCTCGCATGTTTCGCATGGAAATAGTTTGAAAAAAGTGTTTGAAATATTATTTTCTCTTTTCTGAACAACTGAGGCATAAAATAACTCTAAAACAGACCCTCTATACCCCCATTTGGAAACAATATTGCTTCTCTTTAACACAGGGCGTTGTCTATGCAAACGTCCCTATTGAAAAAGCCTGAAAACTTAGTGGCACATCTGGGAGCCTCGCATTTTTCGCATGGAAATAGTTTAATATACGGGTTTAAAATATTATTATATCTTTACTTCACCATTTAGGCATAAAATGAAGTAAAAGGTGTAGCTCTATATCCTGTCTCGGAAACTATATCGCTTCTCTTTAACACAGGGGGTCGTCTACAAACGTCCGAATGGAAATAGCCTGAAAACTTAGTGGCACATCTGGGAGCCTCGCATTTTTCGCATGGAAATAGTTTAAAATACGGGTTTGAAATATTATTATCTCTTTCCTTAACCATTTAGGCATTAAATAACTTTAAAACAGTCGCTCTATATCCTTTCTTGGAAACTATATAGCTTCCCTTTACTACAAGGGGTCGTCTATACAAACGTCCCTATGGATATAGCCTGAAAACTTAGTGGCACATCTGGGAGCCTCGCATTTTTCGCATGGAAATAGTTTAAAATACGGGTTTGAAATATTATTATCTCTTTCCTTAACCATTTAGGCATTAAATAACTTTAAAACAGTCGCTCTATACCACCTGGTGAAAACTATATAGCTTCCCTTTACCACGGGGGGTTGTCTATACAAACGTCCCCATGGAAATAGCCTGAAAACTTAGTGGCACATCTGGGAGCCTCGCATTTTTCGCATGGAAATAGTTTAAAATACGGGTTTGAAAAATTATTATCTCTTTCCTTAACCATTTAGGCATTAAATAACTTTAAAACAGTCGCTCTATATCCTTTCTTGGAAACTATATAGCTTCCCTTTACTACAAGGGGTCGTCTATACAAACGTCCCTATGGATATAGCCTGAAAACTTAGTGGCACATCTGGGAGCCTCGCATTTTTCGCATGGAAATAGTTTAAAATACGTGTTTGAATTATTATTATCTCTTTCCTTAACCATTTAGGCATTAAATAACTTTAAAACAGTCGCTCTATATCCTTTCTTGGAAACTATATAGCTTCCCTTTACTACAAGCGGTCGTCTATACAAACGTCCCTATGGATATAGCCTGAAAACTTAGTGGCACATCTGGGAGCCTCGCATTTTTCGCATGGAAATAGTTTAAAATACGGGTTTGAAATATTATTATCTCTTTCCTTAACCATTTAGGCATTAAATAACTTTAAAACAGTCGCTCTATATCCTTTCTTGGAAACTATATAGCTTCCCTTTACTACAAGGGGTCGTCTATACAAACGTCCCTATGGATATAGCCTGAAAACTTAGTGGCACATCTGGGAGCCTCGCATTTTTCGCATGGAAATAGTTTAAAATACGGGTTTGAAATATTATTATCTCTTTCCTTAACCATTTAGGCATTAAATAACTTTAAAACAGTCGCTCTATACCACCTGGTGAAAACTATATAGCTTCCCTTTACCACGGGGGGTCGTCTATACAAACGTCCCCATGGAAATAGCCTGAAAACTTAGTGGCACATCTGGGAGCCTCGCATTTTTCGCATGGAAATAGTTTAAAATACGTGTTTGAAATATTATTATCTCTTTCCTTAACCATTTAGGCATTAAATAACTTTAAAACAGTCGCTCTATATCCTTTCTTGGAAACTATATAGCTTCCCTTTACTACAAGGGGTCGTATATACAAACGTCCCTGTGGATATAGCCTGAAAACTTAGTGGCACATCTGGGAGCCTCGCATTTTTCGCATGGAAATAGTTTAAAATACGGGTTTGAAATATTATTATCTCTTTCCTTAACCATTTAGGCATTAAATAACTTTAAAACAGTCGCTTTATGTCCTTTCTTGGAAACTATATAGCTTCCCTTTACTACAAGGGGTCGTCTATACAAACGTCCCTATGGATATAGCCTGAAAACTTAGTGGCACATCTGGGAGCCTCGCATTTTTCGCATGGAAATAGTTTAAAATACGGGTTTGAAATATTATTATCTCTTTCCTTAACCATTTAGGCATTAAATAACTTTAAAACAGTCGCTCTATACCACCTGGTGAAAACTATATAGCTTCCATTTACCACGGGGGGTTGTCTATACAAACGTCCCCATGGAAATAGCCTGAAAACTTAGTGGCACATCTGGGAGCCTCGCATTTTTCGCATGGAAATAGTTTAAAATACGGGTTTGAAATATTATTATCTCTTTCCTTAACCATTTAGGCATTAAATAACTTTAAAACAGTCGCTCTATATCCTTTCTTGGAAACTATATAGCTTCCCTTTACTACAAGGGGTCGTCTATACAAACGTCCCCATGGATATAGCCTGAAAACTTAGTGGCACATCTGGGAGCCTCGCATTTTTCGCATGGAAATAGTTTAAAATACGGGTTTGAAATATTATTATCTCTTTCCTTAACCATTTAGGCATTAAATAACTTTAAAACAGTCGATCTATACCACCTGGTGAAAACTATATAGCTTCCCTTTACCACGGGGGGTTGTCTATACAAACGTCCCCATGGAAATAGCCTGAAAACTTAGTGGCACATTTGGGAGCCTCGCATTCTTCGCATGGAAATAGTTTAAAATACGGGTTTGAAATATTATTATCTCTTTCCTTAACCATTTAGGCATTAAATAACTTTAAAACAGTCGCTCTATATCCTTTCTTGGAAACTATATAGCTTCCCTTTACTACAAGGGGTCGTCTATACAAACGTCCCCATGGATATAGCCTGAAAACTTAGTGGCACATCTGGGAGCCTCGCATCTTTCGCATGGAAATAGTTTAAAATACGGGTTTGAAATATTATTATCTCTTTCCTTAACCATTTAGGCATTAAATAACTTTAAAACAGTCGCTCTATACCACCTGGTGAAAACTATATAGCTTCCCTTTACCACGGGGGGTTGTCTATACAAACGTCCCCATGGAAATAGCCTGAAAACTTAGTGGCACATCTGGGAGCCTCGCATTTTTCGCATGGAAATAGTTTAAAATACGTGTTTGAAATATTATTATCTCTTTCCTTAACCATTTAGGCATTAAATAACTTTAAAACAGTCGCTCTATATCCTTTCTTGGAAACTATATAGCTTCCCTTTACTACTAGGGGTCGTCTATACAAACGTCCCTATGGATATAGCCTGAAAACTTAGTGGCACATCTGGGAGCCTCGCATTTTTCGCATGGAAATAGTTTAAAATACGGGTTTGAAATATTATTATCTCTTTCCTTAACCATTTAGGCATTAAATAACTTTAAAACAGTCGATCTATACCACCTGGTGAAAACTATATAGCTTCCCTTTACCACGGGGGGTTGTCTATACAAACGTCCCCATGGAAATAGCCTGAAAACTTAGTGGCACATCTGGGAGCCTCGCATTTTTCGCATGGAAATAGTTTAAAATACGGGTTTGAAATATTATTATCTCTTTCCTTAACCATTTAGGCATTAAATAACTTTAAAACAGTCGCTCTATATCCTTTCTTGGAAACTATATAGCTTCCCTTTACTACAAGGGGTCGTCTATGCAAACGTCCCTATGGATATAGCCTGAAAACTTAGTGGCACATCTGGGAGCCTCGCATTTTTCGCATGGAAATAGTTTAAAATACGGGTTTGAAATATTATTATCTCTTTCCTTAACCATTTAGGCATTAAATAACTTTAAAACAGTCGATCTATACCACCTGGTGAAAACTATATAGCTTCCCTTTACCAC